GCCCGTCCCTCTTCGGGAGGGATATTCAAAAATAGTCAACAAATAGTCAGGGGACTATTTTTTAAAGTATTTTTTGACCATTTGGGAATATCTTTTGAGTGCTTTTTATTTTTCGTCGAAGGTCCCCCTGCAGGGCGACACGCCCGACTTGAGGCCAATCCTCCCTCCGCGGCCGCGCTCCGCCCGAGGCTCTCCCTCTCGCTGCCGGTCCGCTCGCGCCCGCCCTCGCCTGGCCCACTGAAGCGCGCGCGTGCGGGTCGCCCTTGTGGCGCGCGGCGGCGGGGAAGGAGGGTCGCGTCTGGAGCCCCTGGGCGCCGTCTTGCTGCTGCGCTGCTCGGGCCGGGTCGCTCTGCGCTCACAGGGGGCCACGTGCGCACCCTATACCCCATGCCCCTCGACGAGTTCTGAGGGGGAGGGTGGGGTGTAGGGTTTGCACGTGGTCCCCTGGCGGTGGTCCCGGGGCCCGAAAGACGGGCCGCGAACGCCCGGACGTGACAGCGGGCAGCGCCCGCAGCGCAGGGGCCAAAGCCCCAGGCACGCCGGGGCCGCGGGCGCACCGCACGCAGCGGCCGGCAGGCCGTGCGCCCAGACACCCGAAGTCGTCTGCGCGGACATTGGCGCGCAAGGTGCCCGCGTAAGGTCGCGCGTAACCCAGATCCCCTCGAGTAACGAAAAAACGCGAAGAGAGGTTTTTCATTATTTTCGGCCTCTGAGAGCCTCACCGGCCCTCGGGATCGTCAAAAAACGACTTAGGATGAAAAACCCGTCCTGGGGAATGGGTCTGGACCTCTGGCGGTCGCGTCATGAAAAAATCATGACGTCGGGGGTCTGTGAAGCGCCCCCGTCTCCAATGTGTCGTGCCGCTCTGGCGGCCCGCGTAAGCCGCCGCGGCGCCGCGCAAGGTCGCTATGTCACCTCGCGCAAGGCCCGCTTTTAATCGCCGCTCACGTGGCCCTGGTTTTCAGGGGCAACGATCGGGGTGAATAGGCTCGGGGGGGGGGGGATGCATCGCCCCCAAATCGCCTATCGGCGCCGATGTGGGGTCCGATAGCCCCCACCACATGCCCAGGAGCATGTGGATTCGCTATCGGGGGCCAGTCGCCGATCTTTCGGCGATGTATCGCCGATTCCAGGTCATGTATCCCCCCCCTGTGCCAGTCCTGCCCGAGCGTTGCCCCCCCCGCAGGTCTGGACCCCTTCCTGGGGGCCGCCTTTTCATCCCGAGTCGGCTCCTGGCGGCGAGCCCCCGCGGAGGCCGAAAATTGTCCCAAAACCCTCTGCCATGACTCCGTCGCAGCGCGAGGATTTCAGTGCCTCGAGCAGTGGCGAAGCGTCCCGGCTTTCCGATCGGCCCACCAACACATGTTCTAAGAACTTGTTGCGGTTTGCGCGAATTTTTCTTAGAACATGTCTGGCCGAGACTGTCTTGTTTTAATACACCGGGTTTAGTTATCAGAACATTGTTTTTGTTATTCGAACATTTAATTTGATTATAAGAACATTTCGTGGTAGGCCTATAGGAATGCATTGACGGTCGGTCCCTGCTCAAGTGCCGCTCTTGCCCAGTTCGGACCCAGAGGTCCCGTCCCGACCGCTTCCTGTGGGGCAGTTTCGCGCCCCGAATCCGTTCTCGATGGCCCAGGAGGCCCACAACGGCCCCCGCAGACCTAAACGAAGGGCAAACGCCGCGATTGGAAAAGTCAAGATTATCTTGGGTCGTTCTCACTTTCTAGCCGTAAGCGTCTATAGACACATAATAGACACATTCGGGGTGGATGTGTCTATAGCCAACGCGGCCGTGGCGTTCGACGCAGCACAGGACCTGAGAAAGGGTAGATCCGTCGAGCAGGTATCACGCGAACGACGGACGAAAACGGGGTCGTCTGCGCCGACCTTGGCGAGTGAGTTCCCCGCGTAAGGTCGCGCGTCATCGCCCTCGTCTCCAGGGTGGCGTGCCGCGCTGGCGGCCCGCGTAAGCCGCGGCGCAAGGTCGCTACGCCATCTCGCGTAAGACCCGTTTCTTATCGTTGTTCACACGGTACATTCATCGGACATCTTACGGAGAACGCGGCAATTCTCGTGGACTTCAGATACCGCTCAAGAAAGTCAAGCGTCTGGACTGGGCCCTCTGTGTCCTCCTGGAGCTCTTATTCATCCGAGAACGTTTGTACCTGTGGACCTGGACCACAGGTTAAGAGAGCGCTTCGAGTGGAGTCCAGTTCCTTGACCTCCAGTGTTCCCAACTCCGAGCAGCCCTGAGATCCGTCCTTTGTGAAGCATTGCCACTTCGTGGAATATCACGGCCGGAGCCCCAGACCCTATCTTTCTGCGCCATTTCTCGAGCCGCATCGGGCTGCGAGGGCCCCAGGGCCCGCAACTATGCGTAAACGCCCGGAGCGAAAAAACGGAGACGCCAGGAGGAGGATGAGGAGGAGGAGGAGGAGGAGGAGGATAAGGAGGAGGAGGAGAGGAGGAGAAGGAGGAGGAGGAAGAGGAGGAGGAGGAGAGGAGGAGGAGGAGGGAGGAGGAGGAAGGGAGGGGGAGGATAAGGAGGAGGAGCGGGAGCAGGAGGAGGAGGAGGAGGGAGGGATGCACTCCAAGCCGCGCCGCCGGAGCTCCAGCAGGGCCTGCCGCGGCCAGCAGGCCTGGGACAAAAACCCCAGAGAGGGCGCTGCTGCCCGGCCGGGGGGGCCGCTCCTGCGCGCGGCCGGCGCCAGCGCTGGCTGCGCGCTTCCGGCGGGCGGAGCACCTGCCCCGTGTGCCGGGGCTGGCCGCGAGGCCGCCGGGCGCCGATCTCGGGGGTTGCTGAGGAAGTGCCCCACTGGCCCACTCCTCCCTCCTAGCTCCTCCTGCTCCTCCTCCTCCTCCTCCTCCTCCTCCTCCTCCTCCGCCCCCTTCTCCTCCTCCTCCTCCTCCTCCTCCTCCTCCTCCTCCTCCGCCCCCTTTTCCTCTCCTCCTCCGCCCCCTTCTCAGACCCTTCTCCTCCTCCCCTCCTCCTCCTCCTCCTCCGCCCCCTTCTCCTCCTCCTCCTCCTCCTCCTCCTCCTCCTCCTCCTCCTCCTCCTCCTCCTCCTCCTCCTCCTCCTCCTCCCCCTCCTCCTCCTCTGAATCGGGCGGGGCCAGGACGAGGAGAATCCGTTCCAGAGCGTTCCGAAAAATTCTCTGAGCGTTCCGGAACGCTCTGAGAGTGCCGGGGTGCCCGAGACATCCGCCGGAGTCGCCAGATCTTAGAGGTTCTCGATGTATCATCAGCCGATGTTATCCTCGTCCTGCCTTCGTCTTACCCAAGGTGCCCCCAGGATTTCCACGGAGGCACCCGTTGCCTCCCGAGCACCCCTCACGAGGCCCAGGGGGCCCCAGGGGCTCCAAAGTGGGGCCAAAAGCTGGGGGCGCCTCGTGCCAGGAGTAAGTCGGGCTAAGGCGGGCGTGTCCCTCTACAGGAGGGATTTTCAAAATAGTTAAAAATAGTCAGGGAGCGATGTTTGACAATCTTTGCGCATGTTTTGAATCTGTTTTGAGTGTCCTTCATGTTTTGCCCAAAATCCCCCCTGTAGGGGGACAGGCCCGACCTAATGCCAGGAGCACCTTTTAGCAACCCCCGACCGATGCCTGCGGGCCAGTGCGTCGGCCCGGGTCCGAGATGACTCCTTCGGGTGCGGCCAGGGGGGGGGCCTTGAGCTCCTGGCGTCCCCATTGTTGCGAACTGGAAGATGTCGCCCGATGTCGTTCCCTGGCCCGAAAGCTGCCGCAGGAAGATGGGTCCCAGGGCTCTGGCCATGATGAGTTTCGATGTTGCGAGTGTTTCGCGTCCTCGGACCTCAGGGTAGGGGGTCGGCGACCAGGCCAGGGTGGATGTCATGACCGGGGCCACGAGATCTCCCTGGCCCCCATTTCTTAGGGGTCCCTTGGCCCCCCTCTCCCCCCCTCGTCCGCGCACATGCCCGCGGCTATGACTTGCGCCCCCCGCTCTTGGACGCGCCCGACTCCTCACGCTTCTGCCGCTCGAGGGGGGGGGGTCCAAGGCGGGGGGCCCTGAGATCGGGGCGTTGCTCGTCGTCGTCGTCGTCGTCGTCGTCGTCGTCGTCGTCGTCCAGTTTCAAGCCTTGGGGCCATCGCAGATCAATTCGGCTCGATAAGTGCCGCGAGAGGTCGGGTCTGAGGCTCAGGTCGTGAGTTTTCGCGGTGTTGCACTTTGTCGCGACGTCGGATCTTTGGGGAGGAGGGCGAGGAAGTCTTCCTCGTCGAGGGGAGGAGGAGGAGGAGGAGGAGGAGGAGGAGGAGGAGGAGGAGGAGGAAGTAGAGGAGGAGGAGGAGGAGGAGGAGGAGGAGGAGGAGGAGGATCGGAGGAGGAGGATCGGAGGAGGGGCAGGAGGGAAGGGAGGAGGAGGGGGAGCAGGGGGAGGAGGGAAGAGGGAGGAGGAGGTCTTCGTTGGCCCTGGGAGGTCTTACCGCCTCGGCGTGCTTTCTCTAGCAGCTGCGCCTCGTGGAGGTCCTCCCCGGGGTTCTCCCACTTCGTCCCGAACGGCCGCCGGAGAGCCGAGTTATGACCCGAATCGAAAGCCCCCCGGCGTCCAAGAGGGGGTGAGGACGAGGTTAAGTCGGGCATGTCCCCTCTACAGGAGGAATATTCAAAGATAGTCAGAAAATAAGATGGGGAGGACTTCTCGACGACTTTTGACCGTGCTGGCTTGTTCTCGAATTGTTTGCAATGTTTCTCCAAAGATCCGCGTGTAGGAGGGCATGCCCGACCTGAGATCGGGGGCGTGTGGATGTCAACGCCGGGGCCATGAGACCTCGCAAGTTTCATGGCCCAGGCGGGGGGCCCCGAGATCCGGGCGTTGCCCGTCGTCGTCGTCGTCGTCGTCGTCGTCGTGGTGGTGGTCGCCGTCGTCGCCGTGGGCCAGGAGACCTCGCAAGGGTCATGGCCCCCTCTTCTTCGGCACGGTCCCCTGGCCCGCCCCTCGTCCTCGCCGACGTCGCGGGCCATGATGCGGGGAATGTCGATACACGAGCCTGGCGCGGTCCCGAGCAGGGGGGAGCTCCCTGTCGTCTGGGCGAACTGCTTTGGCGTTGCTTTGGCGTTGCTTGGCGTTTCTGGGCATTGCTCTGCAGTGCTCTGCAGAGCCAGGGAACCTGAGGAGCGAGACTGGGGAACCCGAGGAACCCAAGCGGGGAGCAGGACCACGAGCCTGGGGAACCCGCGGGGAACCCGAGGAACGCAAGCAAGGAGCCAGGCCGGGGAACCCGAGGAACCCAAGCAGGGAACAGGACCACGAACCTGGGGAACGAGACCCGGGGAACCCGAGAAGAGGCGGCAAGGAGCAAGACAGGGGAACTCGAGACCCCTGTGAGAAAGCAGGACCAGGGAACCTTGGGGACGGCCGGCCACGACCGGGCCCGACACCCATCGGTTCTGCACAAACCAAATAGGGGGCCCATCTGTTTGTTTCGGAGGTTTGCGCGGTTTTCTTGGATCGGCGTTGGGATCTCCTGGCAGCGACTCCTACGCCACCGCGTTCCGCCCGCCAGGGAGGGGGCCCAGCGCCGACCCAAGAAATTCGCGTTGACCTCCGAGAGTTTGTGCTCGCGCGTGTGGTTCCCCAAGCAGTGCTTGCACTGAAGAGGTCCTAGCGGTTATTGAAAGATTTGGCGAAAATTTCCCGCCGATTTGGTTAGCCTGCTGGTTTCCCGGGTTCCCAGTTCTGGGTTCCCGGGTTTTTGGTTCTTGGTTCGGGCCGAATTCGGTGGGTTCCGGGTTCTTGGGTTCCCGGTCGATCTCCTTATCGATCTCTTGATCGATCCCACTTCAAACCATCCACTGATTGGGGTTTTCTCTGGTGTAGTGTCTTCTTCCTTTTTCCTCTAAAGCACGTTCCCTGCCTGGCCACCCCCCACTGTCCTCGCACGGCCCCTGGGCCACGCTGAGGGGGCCCACCTCTTCCTCCTCCTCCTCCTCCTCCTCCTCCTCCTCCTCCTCCTCCTCCTCCTCCTCCTCCTCCCCCTCCTCCCTCCCCCTCCCTCCCTCCCTCCCTCCCTCCCTCCCTCCCTCCCTCCCTCCCTCCCTCCCTCCCTCCCTCCCCCTCCCTCCCTCCCTCCCTCCCTCCCTCCCTCCCTCCCTCCCTCCCTCCTCCTCCTCCCCCCCTCTTCTTCCTCCCTTTCCTCCCTCTCCTCTTCCTCCTCCTCCTCCTCCTCCTCCGCCTCTCCTCCTCCTCCTCCTCCTCCTCCTCCTCCTCCTCCTCCTCCTCGTCCCCCCCTCTCCTCCTCCTCCTCCTCCTCCTCCTCCTCCTCCTCCTCCTCCTCCTCCTCCTCCTCCTCCTCCTCCTCCTCCTCCTCCTCCTCCCCTCCTCCTCTTCCTCCTCCTCCTCCTCCTCCTCTCCTCCTCCTCCTCGTCCTCCTCCTCCTCCTCCTCCTCCTCCTCCTCCTCCTCCTCCTCTTCCTCATCCTTGTCTACGCCGACATTTGCGCGTAAGCTGCTCGCGTAGGGTCCCGTGTAAGCGCCCTCGTTTTCAATGCAGCGTGCCGCGCTGGCGGCCCGCGTAAGCCGCTGCGTAAGGTCGCTTTGTCATCTCGCGCAAGGCCCCGTTTTTTCCGCCGATTACCCCCCCGACGCTGCCCGAGCCGTTTTTACGGCGGGCTCGTGCTACCTCGGCGTGGGCGGCGGCACCAGCGCGGGTGCTCACGGTGGAGCACGCTGCTGGGGGCCCCTCTCTCGGGAGCAGCGAGAAGGAGAGTTCAGGAGCCCCACGTGCCTTCCCAATTCCATCGTCAGAGCGTCCATTCAGCGTCGATGAGCATCGATCAGTCGGCTCGCGTCGATCAGCGCCAGCTGGCAACGATTCGCAGGACCCAGCAAGATGGCATGGGAGGCTCCCACGAGTTGACCACGAAGGGGGGGATAGGCTCAGAGTGGAATACGCGATTGGAGGTTTTCGGACGCTTTCGTCTGCTATCGGCGGCTTTCCAGCATCAGGACGCCTTCCAGCAGCTGCGTCTCGCCGAAAGCGTTCCGGGGGTGCCCAGATCGCCCCGAACGGCCACCAGAGGATCGAGTTATGAACAGGAAAGCAAGCTCAGGGGGGTAAAGTCGACCCCCACAGTCGCCCATTGATCGCCGATGGGGGCCCGATGGCCCACCCAGCAGGGAACCGTGCCGATTCGCGACCAGGGGCCTGTCGCCGATCCGTCGGCGATGGCACCGCCGAATCCAAGTGCGTGGATGTTTTCCCCCCTGGGCCGTGGCCCCCTCCTGTCGTTCCCCTCGGTCTCGGAGCTGCGGGGCCCACAGGGAACAACCCACGCGCGAGGTCCATGCGAGACACGGGGCCAGCCCGCGCCCCTCGTTAGTTGCCAGGACCCACGTCGTCAAGGCAGAAGCCTTCCTTGTCGAGTACGTTTGTGCTCACTTGCGCGAAATTCGCGGCAGCTCAGTCTGTGATGCTATTTCACCTCAGCGGTAACTGACATCCGCAGGCATGAGTTCGAATGTTGATGGAGAGCCAAATCAATCATCATCATCACCGCGACTAACATCATGCTTTGCTGTCATCGTCAGAAGAATACTGGATCAGCATCGTCTTCATCCGCATCATCAACAACACGTCGTATCCCCCTGCGGCCACCAGAGGAGGTGGCATCGAAACCGCTCCCCTGTCCTGAGTACTCCTGGCCAGTCCTCCTCTTCTTCTTCCGCTCCCTTGTCATCGTCGTCCTTCTCTTTTTCATCACATGTCTCTTCGCCACCACCACCACCACCACCACCACCACCACCACCAGTCGACGACTTTGTTCTGGACTGAGCGCGTGTGCAGTGCAAAGTGCGTGCTGGTAGCACGGCCCTCCGGGAAGCCTCTGAGGCAAATGGCCGCGGAGGTGGGGAAGCGCTGCTGCAGTCCCGCCCATCCCGCCCGCGCTGAACTGGGTACCCACTTACCTTGCAGGAAACAGAGCTCACTGAGGCGATCCCTCTTCGGCCTCCTGGTGTGTGGCTAGCGCTATGTCCTCCCTCCCTCCCTCCTCCTGGTGTGTGGCTAGCGCTATCTCCTCCTCGTGGTGTGTGGCTGGCGCTAGCCCTCCATCCCTCGTGGCGTGGCTGGCGATCCCTCGTGGCGTGGCTAGCGATCCCTCGTGGCTAGCGATCTAGCGCTATCCCTCGTGGCGTGGCTGGCGATCCCTCCACCCCTCCTCCTGGGCTGTGGCCGGCGCTACCTCCTCGTCCGGCCGGGCGCCTCCGCGGCGTGTCGGCACGGCGGGCCGGGCGCTTCGCGCGGGGTTTCCCCCGCCGCCTGCGACCCCCAAGACTTGGCACGGCGGAGAGGCGGGCCGTCTGGAAGCTACGGCTTGGTGGCGTAAGGCCCTCAGGAGCATCATTGCACGAGAAGGAGAGGTTTCCTACTGCACAGGGCGCCGTCGGGCGCCCTTCGTCAGGCTCTCAGGAGCATCCATCATTGCCCAAGAAGGAGAGGTTTACTGTTGCACCGTACTAGGGGAACGAAAAATACCATAAACACAAAATCTCGGAGGTCCGCGCGGAGTTCTTGGATCCGCGCTGGACCCCCCTCCCCGGCGCGCGGAGCGCGCCAGGGGCGGCGCCGGAGGCGCCGCCAGGGCGGTCCAGCGCCGATGCGAGACAGCCGATCCAGGACCTCCGAGGTTTTCTTCGCTCCCCGATGCGCGCCGACCACACGGCTACGGAAGGCCGTGCGGGAGGCCAGACGGGGACCGTGCGGCATGTCGTGCGGGAGACCATGCGGGAGGCCGTGCGGGCGAGCATGTACGGGAGAGCACGCGGGGAATCGCACGGTCCTCCTCCTCCTCCTCCTCCTCCTCCTCCTCCTCCTCGTCATCATCATCATCATCATCATCATCATCATCATCATCATCATCATCATCATCATCATCATCATCATCATCATCATCATCATCATCATCATCATCATCATCATCATTTTCTTCCTCGTGCTCGTCCTCCTCCTCCTCATTTTCCTCCTCCTCCTCCTCATATCGGAGGCCCTGCGGAACACCGCGCGGCAGACCAGAAGAGAGACCGCACGGAAGGTCAAGTTGGAGACCCATCCAGAAGACCATACGGAAGATCGCACGGGATGATGCCGAGGGTCACGAAGCCACCGGTTCTGGAGCCGGAGGAGAAAGCACGCGTGCCGCTGCACAGACAAGCTCTGTGCCGGGAGCCGTGGCTCTCGCCGTGGTGCCGCGCACACCTCACACCTGAAAGCTTCCCCCATCGTTAGATGGGGTTGTCACTCTGCAGGAGGAATAGTCAAAAAGTGATCAAAAAGTAATGTGGAGATGATTGTTGGACTGTTTTCGAGCACTGTTGAGCATCTTTTTGGGTATTTCTTTGATTTTTCGTCCAAGATCCGCCTGTAGGAGGACACGCCCGACCGAATCCCATCGTGAAGAGGATGGAGTGTTGGTTCCACAATGTGTCTCTTGCTCCAGCGTCACGGATTTTCATGTCGTCCTTTCCGAGCAGTCGCAGTGATGGAGGGCGGCTTGTTTTCAAAGGTGGTTCTCACTTTGGCGCCACGCACATTCGTGTGAACAACTTCCAGCATTTACAAGGATGGGGGGCGGCGCGTTTTCAACATGTAGTTCTTGCTTGAGACTCCGGCATGTCCTAATACCAGAGGTACAAACTTGCGCAGGAGCTACACGAATGGACGGTGGTTCTCTTTCGAAATGGGGCTCTCGCGCAAGACTTCTGCAATCATAGTGGCAGACGCGTGGCATTGCGGAACAGTTACACGGGGATTTGATTGGACATTTGTTTCAATGCTATGTTCCATTCAATTCGCATTCGTGACGGCTAGAAGGATGCAGGGCAATTCATTTTCAAACGGGACTCTTGCCTGAATGGCATGCCCACCGGGCGTTCGTCTTTCAGGCTGGTGGTTCCCGTAGTGGAGAAGCGTGCCTCCAGGGACTCATGAGTAGGGACCTTGGGACGGGAGGGTGCATTGCAGCGCCATTGCTGCATCCTGGGGTCATTCTGGTCCACGTCCTCCTTCACCTTCTCCTTCTCATCTTTCTCATCTTTCTCCTCCTCCTCATCCTCATCCTCCTCCTCCACAGACCACGATTTTCCTCTCTCCCCCTTAACTCCTCCCTCTATGGGCGGTGAACCTCCTCAGACCACCATGCGAAGGTCATCCATATGCAAGCGTTCTATCTCCCGTGCATGCTGTATGTGTGCGCAATGTTTGCTTTTGCAGTCGATGTTCGGCACACTCTGGACCATAGGGTTTCTTGTGTTGGCTTGTCTGCTCCTCCTCTCCATCCCCCTCCTCCTGCTCCTCATCCTTAACCTCCTCCTCCTCCTCCTCCTCCTCGGGCTTCTGCTCCTGCGATTCCTCTGGCTGCTGCTGCTGCTGCTGCCCCTCCTGTCACGACATCGCGAAACGTCACGACCAGAGCCCCAGTCCGTGTCTTTCTGTGGCATGCTTCGGGCGGGTTCGATTTGTGATGGTCCCGGGGCCCGATGACAGGCGAAGCGCCCCAGTGTGAAACAATTGCGGCGTCTGGATCTCAGGGTCGGGCGCCTGCTCTTGCGGCAAGCCTTGGCTGCTGCTGCTGCTGCTGCTGCTGCTGCTGCTGCTGCTGCTGCTGCTGCTGCTGCTCCTCTCGGCATCGTAGATGCCAAATGCGGGCACCTGCAGCTCCTGCTCGGCGCTTTCCAGGACACAGCGCTTTCCGCGGGCTGGAGCTCGCACTGTGCCTCGGAAAAAGATCTCCTGGGGCCAGAATCACCAGCTCCGCATGCGCCGCGAACGGCGTCCCTCAACCACCCCTCTTTGCTTGCCCCTTCGCCCTCCTCCTTATTCTCCCCTCTTCCGCCCCCTCTGCTCCCATCTCCCGAGGAAGATCTTCTAACGAGGCCAAAATCGCCAGCTCTGTATACGTACGCCGCGAACCGCATCCTCCGTCCCCCCTCCCCGCTTCCCTCCTCCTCCTCCTCCTCCTCCTCCTCCTCCTCCTCCTCCTCCTCCTCCTCCTTTCCTCCTCCTCCTCTCTTTCCTCCCCTCCTCCTCCTCTCCTCCTCCTCCTCCTCCTCCTCCTCCTCCTCCTCCTCCCTCCTCCTCCTCCTCCTCTCTCCTTCCTCCTCCTCCTCCTCCTCCTCCTCCTCCTCCTCCTCCTCCTCCTCCTCCTCCTCGGTCTCCCCCCATGGCGTACATGTTTATGGGCGCCCTCTCGGTCTCCGCCGCCGTGCACGCGCCCGCCCTGGTGACCCGAGGGGCGAGTCAGGAAGTCACAGCTTCGCGTCTGCTCTGGGTCCGATGCCGATCCTTCCTCCTCCGTCTCCCCTCCTCCGCTGCCCCTCCGCCCCCGTCCGCCGACGGAGCTGCCGCCCCGCTGTACCGACGGGGCCGCCCCCCCAGGTGCTCGAGAAGATATGGCGCACCTACGTCGAGCTCTTCGAGAGATCGCTGGGCGAGGCCTGCGGCGGCCTCTCTCTCCCCTGGGGGGCTCCTCCTCCTCCTCCTCCTCCTCCTCCTCCTCGGAGGCCTCCGCGGAGGAGGAGTCCAGGAGGAGGGAAAGAGGGAGGGGGGCAGGGATGAGGAGGAGGAGGAAGAGGAGGAGGAGGAGGAGGAGGGATATGAGAAGGACGAGGAGGAGGGAGGAGGAGGAGGAGGAGGAGGAGGAGGAGGAGGACGAGGAGGAGGACGAGGCGGAGGATGAGGAGGGATATGAGGAGAGGAGGAGGAGGAAGGAGGAGGAGGAGGAGGTAGATGGGGAGGAGGAGGAGGAATATAATAGAAGGGGAGGAGGAGGAGAAGGAGGAGGAGGGGGAGGGGGAGGAGGAGACGGATCATAGGATGATGATGTTGATGATGATGGTGATGATGATGATGTTGCTGATGATGATGTCCATGATTACGATGATGATGATCATGATGATGATCATGATGATATGATGATGATGATGGATGATGATGATGATGATGATGATGATGATGATATGATGGTGATGATGATGATGATGCTGATGATGCTGATGCTGATGCTGATGATGCTGATGCTGATGCTGATGTGATGATGCTGATGATGCTGATGATGATGATGATGATGATGATGCTGATGATGATGATGATGATGATGATGATGCTGATGATGATGATGATGATGATGATGATGATGATGATGATGATGATGATGATGATGATGATGATGATGATGATGATGATGATGATGGTGATGGTGATGGTGATGGTGATGGTGATGGTGATGGTGATGGTGATGGTGATGGTGAGGAGGAGGAGGAGGAGGAGGAGGAGGAGGAGGAGGAGGAGGAGGAGTAGGAGGACGCGGAGGAGGACACGGAGAAGGAGGAGGGATATGAGGAGGAGGGCCCCCGCTCCTCTCCCCATTATCCTCACTCCTGCCCCCGCGCCGTCTCCTCCTGACCATCGCTCCGTCGCCTCGCGCCTCGTGCCTCGTGTCGCGCCTCTCGCGCGCTGGCCCCCCTCGCGCAACTTCGAAGGT